GATTTCTCTTCCAAGCATTAAGCTGCATAGAAACAAAGGTACAGTGCTACTTTATTAAATAAAGTTTACATATTTGTTGCTGTAATGATAGATACTATGTTTCCTTATATTTTCATCAAAGAAAACCCATTTTACAAATAAAATTACAAAAATACTGACGGCTAGAACGGATTAATTGTATTTGCATTAATTTCTATGGAAAAAATTGCTTCGGTTAATGAACAGACTCGTGGAACGGATTACGTTCGCTAACTGGGATTCCACTGTATTTTTTATGAAAGTGGTGATAGCACCAGATGATGTTTTTACCGTATTTGCATTTTATTGTGGAGGCAGTAGTCTCAAAAGAAAGGTTGTCTCTGTACTTGTGAAATTGTGGACTGTCAACTGGAGTGAACGACAGATGAAAAAATGGAAGCAAAGTATTTGTTAAACGTTGCAATTTTATATTTTGTTTATACTTTTAAGTGTAAAATAATTGAAAGAAAAGATGTTAAATAGTTATATTATTAAACATTTTTTCTTTCAGTTAATTCTTATATAATTATATTATTTGGAAAATATGGAAGATTGGTTGGAAAGAGGTTATTCAAACATATGGAAGACATTAAAAAAGATGATGATGACAGCCAGGGTTGTTTTAACACTTCTGAGGCCCTCAACCCAATTTCTTTAGAGACATTATACAGATATAGAACAAAAATATTAGTAATGAGCAGTGAAGTGAGACCTCTGGTCATAGCTGGATATCCTCATGTTAATATGGGTCTGATGACAGCATTTATTAAAATATGTTTATAAAAGGATATATACAGGGGGTGCTAAAGTAGGTATACATCATTATTATGGGAAAAACATACAGGGAGAAAATAGGAAGAAAAACATTTATTTTTATGTACAAATTAAATCACAAAAATCACAAATAAGGAATACGAACTAATAAAAGATAATAAAAATAATAATAATGAGAATCTGAGAAATACATCTGTATTTCTCAGTTCTTATTATTTTTATTTTTATCATCAACTGTATACCTATTTTTGCACTCACCTGTAGATCTCAATTGGAGAATGTCATGTCAAAGTGATTTTTCAGTAACATAAAAGTACTGTACATTGATGGAGATCATAGAAAAAATGCTAATTTAAGAAGGATTGTGGACTTTTAATTAAATAATATAAAATTAGAAAAAATGAATCTAGAATCATGATTATTGCTATTAAAAACTTTTTAAAATATTGACAGTTTATTATAATCTAAACCAATAGTTCTCAAAGTATGATCCATGGATCACTAGTGGTCTGTGAGTGTGCACCCAATAGTTCTCAGACTGACCTTGTCATTTTTTCAAAATGCAATTTTATGCTTTTATTATGAGGAAAGAACATTTTCACATATTGCATCTCTTATATTAGACAAAATATTACAACACATTATGGCGATACCTAAAGTGATGATAACAGGATAAGAAGTGGATGGGGCCTAGGTGATTTATGGTCCATTCATGACACAAAGAGAATGTCACTACATGTAAGTTGTATAATACTTGGTACTATGTTTATTTTGTAGTTAAACACATGCTATTTACCTACCTAAGAGGATATTTCTCTATGGTCAATATATTAATTTTTTCATAAGTAAAACATGGACTATTTGATGAGCAGAGTGAAGGTGTAAAGCTGATTAACAGTGAAGTCATTGCATTACAATGAAATATGTTGGCATACTTGAGCCATGCCATGCAATTGCTAGTGAGCACTTCATTTTTACTTTTTGTCGCTTTGCTTTATTCATTTCAATTAATATATTTTTTAGTAATATACTGTAACGTACATGTACAGTACAATAATACCCCGAACTTACGCGATAGGTGGGACCGAGTGATAACCGCATAACTCGTATTCGTGTAAGTCGGGGTGTAATTTCGCAATTTGTGTAAAATCCAAGTCGGATGTATGTAAGCTAATACAGTGGTACCTCAGGTTACGAACGCCCCAGCATACGAAATTTTCAGGATACGACATGAAATTCGAACATATTTTTGCTCCACGATACGAACAAAAACTCACCATACGACGTTACATTAGTTCGCATTTTTCATTTGTTTTTCTTACTACAGTTATTTTTTTAATGTATTACTTGGCTTTAATTTGAGTATGTTTTTCGCGTTGGAACGAATTATTTGGTTTTACATGTAATCGTATGGGAAAAGATGATCCACTTTACGACATTTTTATGATACGATCTCAGTTTCGGAACGGATTAATTTCGTATCCTGACGTACCACTGTAAATGTTCTCGTTAATCTTATCTCATTTTTTGATTTGTTCACGGTTACATAAAATCACAACATAGTCTCTCTCAAGTCTCTGTAGATATAACAAACACAGAAATAAATAACACAAAATAAATTGTAGCTATGTGTCGATTCCACGCGAAAAGTCCGAACATGTAAACTGAACAATAGTGTGGGGGAGTGAGTAATCAAGAGTTGCATGGCGCTCAAACAAAAGACGAATCGACGAGATTTGAAAATCATGTAACTCCGGGTTCGTGTAAGTCGAGGTATTACTGTACAATAAAACCTGCTAATGTGACCACTTGTGTAAGATGACCACTTGAGCTGGTTCCTTCAGTGGTCACATTAGCAGGTTTCACTTAAATGCTAATGAATACAATGTTTTTCATAAATAGAAGCTATATGTAAAATGCATAGTTGATTCATTATTAAAAATAACTTCCATCTATTCAAAAATGGAAACAAAAGAAATAGTCTATATAGGAAAAGACATAAACAGGCTACAATTAAAATAACTTGTGTTACATATTATTACTTAAAAAATTTAACTGTACTATTTTAAAGTACACTAAACATTTCTATATTTTAAATAATGATGATAATATGATTATTATTTTTATTATTATTTTATTATTATTAGTGATGTTCTCCTCAGTTTAAGTAGTTCAATGATCAAATAACTTTGAGAATTATTGATCTATACAATAAAAAAATAATCCTGATATTGAATTGATCAAGTCTCAAAAACTTGGATCTTATTTTGCCACTTTTAAGTTAAATTAGTTTTAAAATATTTTTTTTTACATTTTGAAAGTGGTTTGTTTTTATATAAATATTTACTGGTGAAATTTTTAAAGAAACTTAATTAAAGCATTAATTGAATCAAATGAATCATTAATTAAAAATAATTATAGTTATAATTATTATAATTTTGAAACAAATACAATTTTATTAAAACTCTATTACTTTCAATAGAATTATTTTCTTTATTTTAAATACAGTAGAACCTCGATTATCCGGACTAATTGGGGATGAAGGTAGTCCGGATAAGGAAAAATCCGGATAATCGAAACAGATACTTTGTCTTTTAATGATAATACAACACGTTTTCTTTTCGATGACATATCGGTAATATTAAAAGTAAATACTGTATTTAAATCGTGATCAAATTTTCAAGAAACAAACGTTCGTATTGAATTTGGACTACTACTGACCAACGCTAACAGACTACCTATTATTTAAAAGGCCCTCTAATGGCGCAAGAAGACGGATTTTATAAAATAAAAAGCAGTCGAAACTGCATTTTTATGAATAAAAATTTGACAAACTATTTATCGTTTTATGACGACTAAAATTTTTTCGTCGCGTTCGCGGCTTTTAAGTAATGCGTAAACCTTCGAGGCGCGAGGCCCTTCGGACTGCGAGGCATAGGCGGTGGCCCACGTCGTCCATGCCTTACGCCGCCCTTGGTCATAGAAATGATGTAATTTGAATATAAATTATTTATAAATACGTATGTCAAGTTATATTTTTATTACGACGCAAAATATATTTAAGAGTTTACGGCCACTGTGCCGGGTGAGACATTGTTGAAACAAAAAAAAAGTTATGCATTCCATCACGTACATAAACAGTGTCGTAATTCGCCAAATGCAAATCAGCAAATTCGTAAAATTTTTTGTTTATTTTGAACAATCCGGATAATCGAAAATCCGGATAATGGAGGTCCGGATAATGGAGGTTCTACTGTAATAAAAACAGAATAAATAAATTAATACAATTTTTTAATATTTAGATTTAATGTTTATGATGAATTTCAAATTCTATCAATAAAATATAAATTAGAAAATTGAATTTAGACAAAATTAAAATCAAAAATAGAATTTGAGAGAGAAATTTACATTAATTTTAAATTACTAAAAGAATTTAAAATACTTGTTTAGATTGAAAGTTAGGGCTTGTTTTGTTCATTGGTTATAAATTAATTTGTTGGTTTTAACAGTATACTTTTACATTAAACACTTATAAGAATAACAGGATGTAAATAAAATATGTCAAGGAAAGTTGAGTATAAAAAAAATGGTTTATGTAGAAAGGATAAAAAAAAATGCATTAAATTATGTCAATAGCTAATTATCTATACTGGTTTTCCTAAACAATTACATCATATCTATATAGCCTTAAGTGTTTTATAAGGAAAAATGGCAATAAAATCAAACATATTTCTTTCATTATCTTATAAAAGTTTTGCAATTAATTCTATATGAATAATAAATTTTATTTTCTGGGATTTCTTTTAATGTAGCTTATTACTTACACTATACACAGCAGAGCCTGAAAATCAGTTAATCTTGTTTTTCAGCTATATTTGTGAATAACTGAGTGTAGAATGGGGCATTTTTATTTGACAAAATTGGCAAAAAAATGTGTTTTTGTATGTTGAATAAGACAACAATTTAGTCTTTAGAATGGTTAACTGACTTTCAGCCATTTTATATATTTGCTTATGTTAATTTAACATATTACATAATACATTGTAAATGAAGTGAATATTATTACTACTAGTTATGCAGAAATATTACAAAATATAGGTTACACAGTTTATTTTATATATATATTTATATAGCAATAAGTGCTCATTTCATTTATCTGTTAAATATCATAATTGAATAATAATAAAAAAATTTTCTTTGCTTTATAGGAAAGTGTTTCAGGATGGTGTCATTGCTACTTATGAAGAGCACGAAGATAGTGTTTATTCCACAGAATGGTCCAGTGCAGATCCCTGGTTGTTTGCTTCGTTGAGTTATGACGGTCGATTAGTTATCAACAAGGTTCCTCGTGCAGAAAAATATAGAATTTTACTATAGCATGGAAATAAACAGTACCCTTGGCAATATGTGTAATTATTTAATGAGCTTTAAGTGCGCAAAGCAATTAATGTAGCATGGAAATAATAGACATGAAGCTAATTATTTACTATGTATAGGTATAAGTATCAAATGGTTAATTTATGTAAATTTTTTACTTGTCTTATGTATTTACAACACGGACAAAAAATCAATTTAAAATTAAATCTTTCCTTATATGAACATATGTAAATTATATACATATATCACAGGGTGGTCCAAAAGTCAGTTAACTGTGTGAATTGCTCAGACAAGCTATCAAAGAATTATAAGTATTTATAATTTGCTATGTCAAAACATTGTAATTTGTATATTGAACAAAAATGTCGTACTTTTTAGCCATTTCTGCAAAATTTGTAAATAATAAAATCTTCAAACAAGGCAGTAATTTAGTCTTTACAATTGTTAGCTGACTTTTGAGATGAGAGAGGACCCAAAAGTCAGTTAACCATTTATAAAGGAAAGGTTGAACTTTTAATTTGATTATTTATGTACAGTACAAGGAAAGATCTTGAAATTAATTTTTTTTAAAAGTGAAATTAATGATTTTATTATCAAAAGAAACATTTTATTGGAGATTTAATTAAGTTTTCCAAGCTGTAATTTTGAAAGTTAAATAAAACAAATTTGTTATTTATGATTAATTTAACAAAGTTTTCTGGTTCAAGAATATTGCCTATAAAAAGTTCTGTTTATTTAAAAATATCAAATTTAATTGTTATTACTATTATTACTGAATTATTATTTTTAATTTTAATTTTTCAATCGTTTTCCTTGTTATGTCAGTAAAATATTAATGAGGTTTTTTTTTTTAAATTTCTGATCTCTTATGAAACGTACCAGTAAACAGTTGCGTCAAGCAGTAAAGCATGAAATAAATTAAGCGAATTAAAAAAAAAATTAAAAAACAAATGATTAAAATTTCATAAGATTATTTTAAAGTTTTTATTACAAAAATAAATTACGTACATAAGAATTAAAATGAAATAATTTTGAATTATTTCCATGGTAACTATAAGAACATGAATTGTATTTTTGTTTTTGATGATTCGTCGTTTCCGTGTAATTATTTTATGTATATTTATAAATACGAATAAAATTATTATATGAAATTTAGAACGTGAAATTACACGAATGAATAAATTAAAAAGAATGTTATTTCATAAATTCTGCACGCTCCATAAAAAAAAATATTTACATTAGATAGAGGGCGCTAGTTTATGACGTCATTGGTTTACTTCGTCTGATCAGTTTGGTTTTTAGACTTTTTAAATTAAGGAAGGGTTAATGTGAAGTTAGCAAGCGAAAAAAATTAATAAAAAAAAGTCAGTTATGTCATTAAAGCAGCAGTTTTGTGCATTGTCATTGCTTTTCTTGAAATCCGTTTTGATTTGGAGTTATCCTACCGAAGATGGGAATGTTGGTAAGTTAGTCTGATTTTCGTAAATGGATTATCATTAAAGCAGTTCGTGATGGAGTTTCTTAGTTAATTTATCATAATTAAATGAACACATGCCTCGTTAATTGAATTCGGGTGTTTTAATTAAAATGATGCTTGTTTGGTGAGTTTGGAAATGTTGCCATGGTAACCGTATGGACGTTTTGTATTTCAAAGTTTGGTATTTTCGAGAATGCAACAATTAATGTGAAAGAAATGTGAAAATAAGTCTAATTCGTTAAAATAGAACAAGATAGAAACAAAAATGGTATTTAAATTTGTTTCATTTAGTCCTGAATCTGTCACAATGAGTTCAATATATAATTAATTCTGTTCCAGATAGAAAGTTAATACGTAAGATAACATCTGTGTTTAATTGATTAATCGACAATTTTTATCGTTATAGAATCAAATACTAATTATATGATTTAAGCATAATGGCAAGGATGAGCTAGCCATTGTGGTTAGTCAGCTGAATTAATCAATGCACTTTAAGCAACGAATGAAGTTTAAATAACGCTAGCATTTTTGATTCAGTTAATGGGCCATTTTCAAGTGTGGACAGAGATGTCATTTTCAACTTTGTGTGTGAAGGTAGCCCATTAACCTGGTCAAAAACATTAGCATTCTTTAAACTTAATCAGCTGCTGAAAGTGCATTGATTAATTCATTTATAATGATTTAATTATGTACATTGTAGGCTTCATATTACTGAAAGATAAAGAGGGGGAGAAGATGGGGGATTTTTCCTAAGGCTTAGGGAAAACTTTGGACCTGTAGCAGTTTCTACCACTATAAATTAATGTTAATTTTACTAACAAAAAATAAAATCTTTAAGACTGCTTTTTAATTAATAAAGAAACACTTAATATATTCCACTCATTCAAAACAATTGCAGAAGGGGCTACTCTATCCCTGGACTGTGTACAAGCTTTCAATAGTCCTGATAATGTAAGAAAATTATATGATAAACATATGTTAAATTTCATTTTAGCTGATTTGGTTAAATGAAAAAATTGTTCTATAAAACTTGCATCTTACAGTTTAATTAAGTTCCAAGTTAAAGGACTTTTTAAAAGCCATATTCAGATTACTCGTGTAGAAATATTCAAATACATTATATTTCCTTTGTCAAATAAAATTAGAAAAATTAGACAAGAATAGTCATTTGGAACAGTGAGGTAACTGGTTAGAAATTTTAAACGGGATTGTATTTTAAAATATTAGAATAAAATTATATAAAAATTTTTAAAAAATGAGGACAAATCTATAACACATCAGTAAACATTTATAGAAAAATAACTATCATTTAAAAATTGGTGATAAAGCAAAATATTAATGAATCTGAATGTATTCAAATATTCTATATTAAGAATAAGGAAAAAATATCTAATACTTTATCAGATTGTCATTAATTTGGCAATAAAATTGATAAAGCATTTAAACTGTCCTAAAAAGGGAGCTTTGTTATTACTACTGTTAAAAATGAATTAAAATATTAATTGTTAAATGTAGCCTTGTGAGGGTTTGTCTGTGTGAATGAGTGAAAATTCAAATATTTGGGAACAAAACATAACAGCTGCTTAAAGATTTTTGTTCATGTCATAACTATTATAAACCATTTGAGTTTTGTTTTGTTTTTTTATTTTGCAAGATGATGAACACAAGTGGTAAATTTAAAAAAAGCCAACTGCAGGGCATTTATTAGTATGAATTTAAGAATTATCACTATAGACCGAATAGTTTTGCACTACTTTCTTTTGAACATTCATTAATAATAATAATAATTTAAAAAAAAGGTTAAGAAATCTCATATATATGACAAGATTAACATAAATCTGTTTTGAAATCCATTTCAAATTAATGCAAAGTTTGAAATGTCATTGTTTAAATTAACATTTATGATTTCTTCTGTAAGTTTTATTGTTATATTCATCTGATTATTAATTTACTTAGCAAGAATTATTTTTTTATTAACATTAATTTATTATGAAATGATTGTTATTGCAATATATTAAATAATTACTATTATAATAAATGCATAGGTTAGAATTGTTAAAGCAAAAATAATTTAAATCAATTGCATTATAATAAATATGCATACATTAGAATATTATTAAGTTAAGCTTTAAATGCAAGAATTAATATAATTTTAAATACAATGCATATAAAACTAGACTTTTATATATATAAAAGTTGATTTAACTATCATAAATATGTCAAAGTAAATCTATTTTTAAATAAAATTTTTTTAGTACCATAACGTAACATACTAATAAATTGTAGTTTATAATAATTTTTTAAATATAAGGATTTAACAATTGAAGTAAAAGAAATGATTTCCAGACTGAAAATTCATAACATTTTATTTAGTTATAAAATTTCAGTAGGATTTATTATTATCCATAAGATTTTCAGCATAGTAACTACATTATTTATAAAAAAAAATCTTAAAATCTAATGAAGATGAAAATAATTTAAAATTTCAGGGAAATTTATACGAAATTTGTATTTAAACATTTTTATAATCTGTTCAAGTATATTATACACTGTCATTTGAATATTCTTTATAATTTATTAATAATTAAATGATTAATGCCTATATCTATACAACATCAATCATCAGTCATTGTGTGCATTCACACATGCATATTAGTTGTTCTTATAATTATTCTTTACAAAAAGCAATTTTTAATAATTTGATTAACATTTAATAGTTGATTGTTATATACTGAAATCAATAGTCAAAATATATATATTTTTATTTTAAAAAATTCTGAATCATAACTTAGTATTTTATTTAATCTAAAATATCAACTATTAGATCTGTTTAAATAAATTTTAGGTTTAAGTAAATAGAAAATATTTAATCTAAGCTTTAATTAGATAAGGACAAAAGCACTTATCAAAAATGAAAATTTTTATGCTTAATTAAGAAATGATGTTAACTGAACTCCATAATGCTTTTTCAGCTTTTGCTTTATATTGCAAAACTCATTGCAAGATGGGTGCGATGTTTGCTCACAGTGAAAAAAAACTGTTTCTTGTGACATTTTGGAATGTTTTTGTTGTAATCCAAAGGACTTTGTGCCAATTTATAACTAGTTGATACAGTCTATTGTTATATCCCAGAAACCGAAGAACAGGCTAAATAACCCTGTTAGAAAAAAAATAGAAGCCAATAAAAAATAATAGGAAGTTCTATTGGTGCTCTCTATTGGTTTCTACTAGAAAGTCAAACCAATAGAAACCAATAAAAATATCTATTGGTATTGTAAGATTAAATATGAATGTACTAGTACTATTTAATGGTTGGTTTTCATAATATAAATCTTAACTAAATAAAATTTTATATATCTATTATTTATTTTTAATTAAATCTTCAATAAAATAATAATAGTTTAAATTATTCTAAATTGTAAGCATAAAAATATATACAGTAGCCTTGATTTAACAGACTAATTGGTGGAAGAGGTGTCTGCTACTGCTGAAAATCTGCTAAATTCAATTTTTTTTTAATAATATTAATAGTGAACTTATTATGTATAGGATGAATTAAAATTTTATCATAATGTATAAGTAGGAATAAAATATAACATACATTAACTACTCTATACATTGACTCATCTTTTATCATATTCTATATAAGAATATTTTTTCCATCAGGACAGAAATTTTCATCCATTTAACTGAGGGTCTTCTGTATTTGCAAATTAAAAATTTAAGCTTGTCTAAAAATTTAGTTTTGTAATGCATTTTAAAATTATAGATTAGGCTAATATTTCAAATGAGTGTCATATGAAAATTCTAAAATTTTATTATATTTCTTCTTCTTAATGTACTAAGAATCAAATATCATTTAATATCAAAGATTCATTTTATTACTGTATATGTGTTGATTTTCCTGTCTTGCTGTATTAATGGGAAAACTATAACTAGTTAAATTTTTCATAAATGGTGACATTTTAAAAAGTTTTAAATTTATTTTTTTTTATTTAAATTATAATACTAATAAAAGCATGGACAACATTGATTCCATATTCATAAAGATTGATATACAGTATACCTAATAAATTTGGGGATTATCAAGTCAAGCAAAAAAGTGATCAAACCAATTACTTAAAGATAGTTATATGTAATATTTATCTGAAATTAATGTATTACTTCATTATCAAGTTATAGACTTTGCTGTACCTCTCAGACTGTCTATACATAACCAATATGTGTAGTGTTATATATGATAGACAACATGAGTTAAATTTTGTCATTAAGCAAATAAAAGAATATGTATAAATATCAGTGAAATAACAGTATTTTAATATTCTTTTAAAAAATATTTCTTCAAAACATTGATTTTTTAAAAGAATATAAAGAAAACTGCATTATTGATATAATACATATCTATTACTTACAGTATTTTAATCCTTGTACAATTTGTTTGAAATTACTGTATATCTTTTGAATTAAATGTGTGTTCTTTCAGAATATATTAGACTTTATTTAAAACTCTAATAAATCCATTAAAATATAGGTAGAATTTTAAATATTGTACTCAAATGTCATTTATCTGATTTTGTATGTACAGATGCTTATTTAAGAATTATGTTGTCATCGTTGGAATATGTCAATGAAATATTTTACCCTTTATTAATAAAGTAGTCAATTTAACATCTAACTTTTTATTATATAATTTCAAATTCATAAATTTTGGAATATATGTATGTAAGTAGTTACCTAATATTTTTTTTCTAATGCTGTATTTGTGTACACTTTTTTAATAGAATTTTATAACTGGATTGTAATTTATATTTTGTGGAACTTTTATTTAATAATTTTTCTATTTTTACTTTCCTGGGTATTATGTATACATAAGGGAAAGTATTGGATTGTAAAATTTAACCCTCAGTGTTGTTTGCAAATCTCCACATTTTGACATTCCTGAACCAAAGAAGTAAAAAATGTGTTCATAACTAGTTCATTTAATA